AGGAAATTGTACCTGGAGTTAAGTGGGCTGCCACCCTCCTTTTCACTATAGCCCAGTAGATATCTCCAGACACCCCAGCGAAGTGTTATTTCATGGTTGTTTGAAGTTCCCACTTTTGTGGCCAACAGACACAAAATAGAGCATATTTGATAGAGCAAACAGAGCATATGATAACGCTTATACTGATAGAGCAATTTGCCTCATCTTGCTCTCTCTGCTTTTAAAGCCACCTACTGGTCATCGTATACCTTGAGGCAGTGAGTTCCACAGTCTTTTCTTTTTGTCTCAAATCTTCCACCAGCTTCATCCCAGGACTTAGCGCTATTGGTGTGTGATGGAGAAACACTGCTCTCTTTTCACAAAGGTCATTCACAGCATCGTTTAGAGCATATGATAGAGCATATACTGACAGAGCAATTTGCCTTGTCCTGCTCTCCCTGCTTTTAAAGCCACCTACTGTTCATCATATACCTTGAGGCAGTGAGTTCCACAGTCTTTTCTTTTTGTCTCAAATCTTCCACCAGCTTCATCCCAGGACTTAGCGCTATTGATGTGTGATGGAGAAACACCACTCCCTTTTCACAAAGGTCATTCACAGCATCGTTTTATCAATTTCTGTCATTCCCCCCCAGAGTTGTCTGTTTTCAAAAGCACAAATTCCCAAATCTTTCCTGAGACGGAATTCTCTTCAGACCCCGGATCTTTGGGCTCATCCTTTCCTGCACCTTTTTTTTAAAAAAAATGGGGGTCACCAAGGTGAGCAATACCCTTTGTCGGAGCATCTCTTGAAAACCACCACCACCCATGCTGGAAAGGCAAGAATCAGCTTGCGGTAGGATGATGGGGGCCCATCATATGCACATCTTAATTCCAAAGGAGACAGTGGGAATTGATCCAGGACGTCTGTAGCCAAGAGTGACAGCATCGCCGTTCAAAAGATACCGAGCCCACAGTAACCATTATCTAAATAGCCCTCCTTGCTAATGGGTAGTAGTTACGCGGCACAACTAGCAATTTCCCCCAGACAGAAGCGAACGGTGTATTATTTTGGTGTTTAATCTTTCTCTCTCTCCCCCACCTCCTTTTTAGCAAATTGGCAAACCGTCTGAATTTGCCTCATTCCTTCTTCCTGACATAAACACACACACACTCTCTCTCTCTTCCCTCATTTCTCAAACTGGCATAAATTGCCTCCAATGTGACCCATAAATGGAACAGATGCAGCAGGGCACCTGGACGGCGCAACCAGCAATTTCCCCCAGACAGAAGCAAACGGTGTATTATTTTGGTGTTTAATCTTTCTCTCTCTTCCCCACCTCCTTTTTAGCAAATTGGCAAATTTGCCTCATTCCCTCTTCCTGAGATAAACACACACACTCTCTCTCTCTTCCCTCATTTCTCAAACTGGCATAAATTGCCTCCAATGTGACCCATAAATGGAACAGATGCAGCAGGGCACCTGGAGGCAATTTTTTTAGCTCTTTTGAAAAGAAGCTTTTTCCCCCCCTCCGTCTTTTTTCCTTGCGGGCTGAAAGGAACCAACACGCTCTGTCCAGACCACCTCAGCGTGCCCCTTTCCTCCGTCTTTTTTCCTTGCATTGCTGAAAGGAACCAACACGCTCTGTCCAGACCACCTCAGCGTGCCCCCTCCTTCAGCGACCCAGTCTGCTCTGCCTCAGTGTCCCTCCCGGAGAGGAGGAAAAGTGTGAAGAGGCGCGATTGAAAAACAGTTTTGCTTCTATGCCTGGAGAACAAAGAGGCTGAGTTGTTTTTTTTCCCCCTTTTTTTCGGGAGGCAGAAACAGAGAGATCAATTCTAGCCAGGAGGTTTGCTCTTTTACCCTCAATCTGAGTTTGGAAGGCCATTTAAAAAAAAACAAGGTCATCTTCATTGTAAGAAGAGACTATAAATGACAGATAGGAACAGAACCTGGATTCCCAGGGTGGTGTAGTTGATGGCCTAGAACTCACGAGGCTAGAGTTTGAATCCCGCTCAGTCATGGAAACTCCCTGAGGAAGTGGAACCGGCAAAATGACTCCTTAAATATCTCGCTTACCTTAAACGCTCTATTCGGGTGGCCATAAATTGGTCCTGACTTGACAGCCCAGGACACACACACAGCATCCAACTGGTGGTTCACACCTGAGGAAGTGGAATTCTATACATCACAGCCCCGAGTTGCTGCCAACTAACTGGATTCTGGTTGCGCTGCTGAGTGTGTGACGAACTATGCAATTAAATTTATATAAGTGGCAACTGCCAGTTGGATTCTGGCCATGGAAACTCCCTTCTTGTTAAAGGAGCCTGTATAAAACAAGGGATGGTCCAGTGCTACGGGTGGCCATAAATTGGTCCCGACTTGACAGCCCAGGACACAGACACAGGATCCAACTGGTGGTTCACACCTGAGGAAGTGGAATTCTATACATCACAGCCCCGAGTTGCTGCCAACTAACTGGATTCTGGTTGCGCTGCTGAGTGTGTGACGAACTAGCAATTAAATTTATATAAGTGGCAACTGCCAGTTGGATTCTGGCCATGGAAACTCCCTTCTTGTTAAAGGAGCCTGTATAAAACAAGGGATGGTCCAGTGCTACTATTGTGCTTGGAAAACGTCCAATCAGCACATTTTCTACAAACATCGCCATTGTGCAAGCCACGATCTCTGGGCAAGAAAATCCACCCTCTACTTGTTTCAACAGCAGTGCTTTGCAAGTGCTACGATCCTGCATGACTGCTTTTCACTCAGTGCAAACTCAACAGGATTCCGGAGAAAGGAACAAAAAAGGCTGATGACGGTTCCTCTACCGGGAAAATTTCACAGGTCCTCTGCGGAATAAAGTTGTCTTTGGTCTGACTCATCCCTATGGCTTTAGCCTGAAAAGATGGCACTCTTTACTCATTTGGAGTGAAAAGATAACAGATGATGGTTCCTTGTTATGGGATGAGTAACCCAGTAATGACACACAGGACAGAATCCTACTGGCATATTTCAGATCTTAAATCACAAGGTCCCTAACCAACGTGTCTAATTTTTTTGTTTGTCCATCATGCACTCAGTTGTACATCTGAGCATCCAGAACACAGCCGGAAAAAGTCACAAAAACCACTTGCAGCATTTCGCTTTCGCACACAGGATTCCGGTCATTCCTTTGACCACTTCCACCTACAGGATTCTGACCATTCCTTTTAATTACTTTATTTGAAAAGTATGAGATGACTGGGGTTACATTTTCAGCCTTCTTCACTCTGTCACTGACTCCACTGGAAGGTATCGGGGGGGACACGGAGCAGAGACGCGTTGCCTCCTGTCACATCTGAACATGTTCCCCACATATCAAAGCACCAGCCTCTCTCGGCGTCCCAGACGGATGAGCGACTCAGCACAATTCCCACAGTACTACAACGAGGTTGCACGGCGCATGGAGCGCTCTGGCTGTCTGCCTCTCTCTAATCAACTGGTAGGTCTCAACAGCAACGACTGGAGAAGAAGTAAGATCTACATGCAACTCAAGCAACCGTGTTACCAGGCATTGGACTATTTTGTGAAAATACTGCGATTGCACTGCATTGTTACTGCAAAAAAGGAGTGGTGTTCTCTCCAAGCTCAGCATTTCCCTTAGGACGACCCCACAAACCTGCTTCCTAATTCATGTGTAAACATAAAGAGTGATCTGGTTGAGTGCAGTAGGTTGATGTATCTGGATGTGGGAGTCCAAATCCCCCCCCCATTTGCTTCCTGCAGGAGGGGCCAGCTGAGATCATTCAGATGACAGGCGGGTGATCGGGTTTTACGCCCTGCCACCTATGTGGTCACGGGCAGGAACAACAGCCCCAGAGCGACCCCCGGAAAAAAAGGGAATAAGAAACCACCTCTCAGTAGTTTTGAACCAGAAAATCCTGAGAAGTTCACCCTAAGTGAATTCAACTTGAGAGCACAGAACGATGATTACACATTTAAAGATGGTTCTCATCTCATGGGGTGAGCCCCCAAAGATGATGGATGTTCTCCTTCTTCAGGCAAATGGCCAGTGGCCATGATAGCTCTGGGATTCTGCGAGTCTTCCCCCCCCAAATACGGTTCTCATCCCTCTTTCAAACTCTTGGGGCCCCCATGTTTAGGTCAATGTTTTGTAGGGATGAAAGGAGCATAAACATGTTTGCAGCCCTTCTGGTGCCAACATGTTTGTTTTACATAGAAGGTAAGGACCAAACAGAGCTCATGGCCCGATGTAATGCCCTTCCAAAGCATATTCTAGAAGGGGGGGTGGGAAGGAAGGGGAGGAATGGTAGCTTCAATTCCTGGCATTCTGCAAATTTGAAAAGGGTAGCCAGCGGCATGGGAGAGATGCAAGGAAAACCAGCCGGTTCTGTCCTGCTTCCACTCTCCACCGAAACTTAGAAAATAGTCCACATTCCCAAACACACATTTCTGGCAGCTGTTGAAGAGAGCGTCGAAAATGGATCGGGGCCATTTCACCACACACAGGTTTGTCACCTCAGAGACAACTAAACCCTTACCAGAAACGTAGGCAACCAATTCCACTGTAGACAGTGGTAGCTACAACTGACTCTTTACAAACCACGTAAGAGTTCCCAAAGCTGGCCAAGTAGCTCAGTGGTTCAGGTATCTGGCTATGGGGTTAGGGTCTGGGAGTTCAGTTCCCCACTGAGCCTCCTGGGAGAAAAGGCCAGCCCGTGTAGCCTTGGGCAAGCTGCACCGTCCCTGGGCAACCCTACAAGAAGGAAAAGGGGAAACACTTCTTGGTATTCTCTACCTAGAAAACCTTGAAAAGGGTCACCAAAAGTCAGAATTGACTTGACAGCAGATGATGATGATGATGATGATGATGATGATGATGATGATGATGATGATGATGATGATGATGATGATGATGATGAAGAAGAAGAAGAAGAAGAAGAAGAAGAAGAAGAGTTCCCAAACAACCGGTTGTCTATCAACAGGGCTCCCGATCTCTCCCTGCCCCTTACCCTCATACCTGGGAGCCTTCAGTTCCTGGTTGTTGAAGGAGTTTAACGGTTCTCCCGCCTGCCGACCGCTGGCTTCGCCCGTCATGCCAAGTTAGGCTGGTACCCGAGCTCCTCTGTAGGCGATAATTGAGGTTCTCAGCCGACACGGTGTGTTCCAGAAGGTTCTGGCAGAAGCTGAAATGAGCAGCAGCAGCTATGGGCAGAAAAAAAAATGAACTGCAGTCATCAAGGTTATTTCATTTCTCCCCTTGATTATTACTAAGACATAATCACGTGTACAGTGGTGCCTCGCATTACGACGTTAATTTGTTCCAGCGAAATCACTGTAGAACGAAAACATCATAATGCGAAAAGAAAAAAACCATTGAAATGCATTAAAACCCCTTCAATGCGTTCCCAAGGGCTGTAAACTCACCATCCAGCAAAGATCCTCCATAGGGCGGTCATTTTCGCTGCCTGTGCAGCGAGGAATCCGTCCCAGAAAACAGCGGGGGGGCATTTTGTTTACCCGGTGGCCATTTTGAAACTGCCGATGAGCTGTTGGAAAATCGTCGTTTTGCGAAGAATCGGTTCCCGAAGTAGGAAACCAATCATCGCAAAGCGAAATTCCCCCACAGGAAACATCATTTTGCAATTGCAAAAGCGATTGCAAAAAGTTCATCATAATGCAGTTTCATCGTTAAATGGGGCAATCGTAAAGCGAGGCACCACTGTATTTCATATTTCTCTAATCATTTGTACAAAATGCTCAGGATGGCTTAAGGCTTCTCAAGATCAGTAGGGTTAGGGTTGTATTGCCTTCTGATTTTAGAGCTAGAACCTGTGACCAGAAAAAGGTTGGGACCCTCCCCTCTCCTGTCCAAGAGAGATCATGGAACAAGAAGGTTCATGAGTCACAGTGCCGGTGCTCCACTCCCTGTCTTGCTCCAAATGGGGTGACACGGCTCAGCACTGGTGCATTAGGAGGCCAGAGGGAAGGGAACTGAGGTGAGAAAGAATGGGTGCATGCACCTGGTTCTCTCTTCTCTTTTAGAGCAGCATACCTATAAACACCCTCGTAGTAAGCCAACGAGCCCTAGTACCAGGCGGGAATGGGTGGAGATGGATACCTAGGCTTAAAAGCCACCACACATTACACTTCACTATGGCGTGAACCGTTTCCCCTCCTGGAGACCCAGAGAACCACAGCAGTTCTCTGAAATGTCACTCGTTGCTTTGAGACCCAGCAAACAACACAGACTTCCATTCCCCCTCCCACCTCACCAATTAAGGCTGACTTAATGCCTGAGCTTTTGCACATTTACTGAAAATTAGGGTCCGCTGGATTTAGAGGGATGTATTCTCAAATTCACATTCTATTGCCTTGCTTAATCTTTTTTCGGTCCAGAGCAGGGCAAAAGACAGCATCAACTATTGTGGTTCAGCCAGTCTCGATCAGGACGGATGCCTTCTGCTTCCTACACAGCTAGACCAGTGGTTCTCAAACGGGGATCTCCAGATGTTCTTGGACTGCAGTTCCCAGAAGCCTTCAGCACTGGCTGTGCTGGCCAGGATTTCTGGGAGTTGCAATCTACAAACATCTGGGAACTCAAGTTTAAGAAGCACTGCGCTAGACGGTGATGTGCCTCCAGAAACTTTATTTGGATGTAATATAATATCCCAGAAACTGAAAGGTTTATTGGGGTGGCGTTGGGTGGGGGTACAAAGGAGCAAAAAGATTTGGTTGCGAACATCTGGGAACCCAAGTTTAAGAAGCACTGCGCTAGACGACCATGTGCCTCCAGACATTTTATTTGGATGTAATATAATATCCCAGGAACTGAAAGGTTTATTGGGGTTGGGTAGGGGTACAAAGGAGCAAAAAGATTTGGTTGCTCGTTATGAATCTGCAGTGAGGTTGGAAACACACCCTTTTCACGCAGCCCTTTCCCAAATCCCATAACCAGCATGGACATGTGGGCTGGTGGATTCTGATAGCTGCCTCTCCACTCAGTGCAAATGACCTGCATTGTATTATGGGTTAAGACATCACAACAACCACGACACCAGCTAATTTAGTTAGAAAATCTGACCTATGATGACCCATCTAGGGCTTTCTAAGTATACAATATGCAGAACGAATTGACCAGCTTCCCCTTCCTAGAAGCACTCTGGAGTCACCCCATCTTGGTCCACTTCAGTTGATTTCATCTGGCCTTTTTCTAGAAGGCACCCGGGGGTGGGATTCAAACTCCCAGCCCCTCGTTCAAATTCCCAGCCCATGGACCTCAACCAACTAAGGTAGATTAGCTTACGCCGAAATTGATACTATGGATGGTCAGGCTGAGGACTGATTGTTTTCAGTACATAGAATGGCTCCCTCTGAATGCCAGTCATGGGGCTATTTCGAGGTTCATGAACGGCTTGTAAATTTCCCAAGGCTGGCGACGGCAGGAAGCAGGCTGCTGGACTGAACAGCTTGTGAATTTCCCAAGGTTGGCGACAGCAGGAAGCAGGCTGCTGGACTGAACAAGCCACTAGTCTGACCCAAAAATGGGCTCTTTTGATGTTTTGGTCTGAGCCGAACCCCCACTTCCTGCATGCTGCAAACTCATTTGTACAGATTTCTTCCAAAAATGCGATTGTACTTTGTCGCACACGGAATGCCTTCCTCTTCTTATCTCATTCCGCCACGGAGGAGGGTGAGGTCATTAATTTCAAATTCTCATGGGCTGAAAAACAAACCAGCCACTTCCTATGGAAAACCCAAGTAAGGCTGACACTACCACTTAGCATTTAAATATGACTTCGAGGCAGACAGACTGCCCTGGAAATGTGAAGGGATGTGTCTGGATGGGCAAAAACACAGCGACAAGCGAGATGGCATCATGACGCGGGCTGGGACTTTCCTGATTTCTGGCCTCTGCACTGCATGCAAAAGCCAGATCCCTGAAAATCACTTCCAAGGAATGAAATCCTTATAAATCCATTCCTCGGTGCAGCTTCACTTGCAGAACTAATTTACCAGTCCCTCTTATTTATTTATTTATTTATTTAAAACATTTTCCCCTCTCCTTTCTCCTTAAAAAGAAGCCAAAGCCGCTTACAACTTTAAAAAGACAATATTTAAAAACTAAAAAAAAAGTAAGTATAAAAATATTTTTAAAAGAATTAGACAAGTATTATATTTAAAACACTGATAAAATCAATACTAAGATACGTTTAAAAGATGTCAGCTGGCCCTCTTCCAGAACGCACCCTGTGTGTGTGTGTGCGTGTGTGTGTGTGCGTGCGTGCATGTGTGTGTGTGTGTGTGTGTGTGTGTGGTTTGTCGTCACGCACCAACCTATGGAAACTAGGTGTGCGACCATGGTTTTCATAGGGTGCGCCTGTGTCTGAATTTTGTTAGCCTCCTTCAACCTTGGTTCTGGCGGAAAGCCAGGATGGACGTCAAATAAATAAATCAACAGAAACACAGAAGGAGGCAGAAAGATCTTAGCCGGCCACCTGCTGAGCACAGCGAAGGCAAGAGTGAGATTACAGCTCAGGCCTCTCTAACCTGTGTTATTTTGTGACCTACCAGGATTAAGTAAGGGAGGTTTATTGTGCTTTTTGAGCTAGTCTTCTTGTGAGGAGGGTGGGTGGCTCATCATCGCAGAATCATACAACCCATTGTAAAATATCTGAAAGGCTGTTCAGGTGGAAGAGGGAGCAAGTTTGTTTTTCTGGAGCTCCAGAGGGGAGGACCCAAATATAATGGCGTCTCACCGCTGGGAGAAAGGCAGCAGCACAAGGCAACCCACCCACCAACCAAGGATTCAAATTGCAAGAACGGAGATTCTCAGCTAACCTTTAAGAAGAACTTCTTGACAGTAAGGGTTGTGGACTGGCTGCCTCAGGGGTTGGTGGACACACCCACATTGGAGGTCTTCTAAACAGAAGTTGGAGAGCCGCCTGTAAGGGGTGTTGTAGGCATGGATTTCCTCCTCTGACAGGGATTGGACTCAATGTCCTCATAGCGCTATGATTCCATAATAGACATGGGGGTATTCACATTCAAATATGAACATCCCCGCAGAGGTGGTGTCCACGAGGGAGTCCAGCCCCATGGGACCAGATGGTCCACTCACCGATCTGCCGCGGATGCGGATGGCGCAGTTCTACAAATGGCTGCGGAGGACGCGATCCACTCGCCACTCTCTCTTCAACATTGCAGCGCGGCTGGTCCTCCCGCCTCCTGCCAGGAGTGGTGAGCGTTTCACACGCTGCAGAGCCATTCGCAGAATCGCGCCGTCCACGTCAGATCGGTGAGTGGACCATCCGGCCCCATGGGGCTGGACCCTCATTAACGCCACCTGCGTGGGGATATCCATATACGAATAAGAATACCCCCCTCTCGATTCTATAATCATTTGCCTAAAATGTTAGATCATGGACTTAACAGTGGTGAGCTTTAGAGCGAAGGCATGCAACCGTTTGGGTTCTCAGGGCAGTGCTGCTGACGACCAACAACATGCATGCCAGTCCGTGGCACATACCTTGCCTCTATCCCAACAAGCATGGATGGGGGGCTCAAGCTGCAGGACTTGCTGCCAAGTCAGACTTAAGTCATACCAGTGACTTGACTCAGACCTGACTCAGGTTTTCTTTTTCAGTGACTCTTGACTCAGAATGCACCCATCCCTCCCTTTTTTTCTGGAGGGAAAAGCTTGTTTTTAATAGGGACTTGGTACTTCGTACTTTTTACTTAAAAGGCAGACATCTTAGTTAGTTAGGCATCCTTCAGTCTCGAAAGACTATGGTAGCGTGCTCTGTATGGAGGGCTTGGAACAGCGCCTAGTGTGGCTGAGAAGGCCAATTCGAGAGTGACAGTCCCTTCCACACTGAAGACAAATCCAGTCTGTCCCCTGTCCGGCTCCCTGGTTTTGCTGCTTTTGTGACTTCCTCTTTGCCTCGGCCTGCTGGGCAAGGGTCTCTTCAAATTGGGAGAGGCCGTGATGCACCGCCTGCCTCCAGGCTGAACGCTCAGATGTCAGGTTTTCCCATCTGTTGAGATCTATTCCTAAGGCCTTCAGATCTCGCTTGCAGATGTCCTTGTATCGCAGTTGTGGTCTCCCTCTGGGGCGCTTTCCCTGCACTAATTCTCCATAGAGGAGATCCTTTGGAATCCGACCATCAGCCATTCTCACGACGTGCCCGAGCCAACGTAGACGT